AAACTGAGCATCAGWATGYGGAAGAAAGGTGATTTCAGTGACTTTGAACYTGGCAWGGTTGTTGGTGCCAGACGGGCTGGTCTGAGTATTTCASAAACTGCRGATCTACTGGGATTTTCACGCACAACCATCTCTAGGGTTGTGTGTGAAAAAGAGAAAATATCCAGTGAGCAGTTCTGTGGGTGCAAATGCCTTGTTGATGCCAGAGGTCAGAGGAGAATGGSCWGAATGAGCTGATAGAATGGCAACAGTAACTCAAATAACCACTCGTTACAACTGAGATCTGCAGAAGAACATCTCTGAACYCACAACACGTCGAACRTTGAGGCGGATGGGCTACAGCAGCAGAAGACCACACAGGGTGCCACTCCTATCAGCTAAGAACAGGAAACTGAGGCTACAGTCCACACAGGCTCATCAAAACTGGACAATAGAAGATTGGAAAAACATTGTCTGTCTGATGAGTCTCAATTTCTACTGCAACATTTAGATGGTAGGGTCAGAGTTTGGCATCAACAACCTGAAAGCATGGATCCATCCTGCCTTGTATCAATGGTTCAGGCTGCTGGTGGTGCAGTGGTGTGGAGGATATTTRCCTGACACACTTTGGGTTCATTAGTYCAAATTGAGCATCGTGTCAATGCCACAGCCTACCTGAGWGTTGTTGCTGACCATCCCTTTATGACCCCAGTGTACCATCTTCTGATGGCTACTTCCAGCAGGATAACACACCATGTCATAAAGTGTGAATCATCTCAGACTGGTTTCTTGAACACAACAATGAGTTCACTGTACTGGAATGTCCTCCACAGTCACCAGATCTCAACCCAGTCGAGCACCTTTGGGATGTGGTGGGACGGGAGATTCTCATCATAGATGTGCAGCTGACAAATCTGCAGCAACTGTGTGATGCTATCATATCAATACAGACCAGACTCTCTGAGGAATATTTCCAGTACCTTTTTTCAATCTATGCCACAAAGGATTAAGGCAGTTCTGAAGGCAAAAARGGGTCCAACCCAGTGGCCAGTGAGTATATTTTTTATGTTTAAGACAGAAGGGTAATATTTGCTCAGTCATGCTGGCAAAATTAGTCGCAATAGCCCCAGGCTGCAGTGCAAGATAAAAGAAAATGTAAATTTTTGCTGCAACTGAGTTTTGATTAAAATTGTTTTAGCAGTTGCATCCAAAAAGGACAAACATAATCTGAGAGGCATTAAATACACGTTTGAGTTACGATGAACTGAATCTGAATCTGGGCACCATGTCTCAGCATTAGAGGGTTTATCTTATGAAACAAAGACTGAGGGTTTAATTTCCTGCCCTGTTCTGTGTTCAAGTGACCRTTAGCACTAAACACACTTCATACGAATGAATGAGCTTAATCCTTGCTTAAAAATCAAGTTTGGTCAATTATTCTTATTATTTATTTATTTATTTAAGTAAAATGCAAACAGCAGCAAAAAAAATGTCTGGTACAAATGAGAATAACTTTAGTTAGTGCTAGTTGCTAGTTAGTTAGTAGTGTTTTTAAGTGGTTTAATTACAATAATGCATCCACAATACTTCAAGACTGARTGAAACACCAAATAGGCTTTTGATAAGTTTTTTTTCATATTAATGAGGAAAAAAAGTGATCAACTAAGTAAAATACAAGAATCCTTGAATGAAGGTTAAAATTAAAAGTTAATCCCCACAAAGGAGACTCCCTAAATAAATAATGAAACATAATATTTGTGACTGCACAACTACAGCTAACAAGCTCCKAATGTGTGTAAGATGTTTACAATTAAGGGAAGATCAGTCCGTGACAGACAGAATGGGTTATTTTTTCCCATCGTAGAATAACCTGACGTTGCACTGAAAACTTTCTGGTCATAAATCCAACGATGACAAAACATTCAGGAGGAAACAGGAAAGCAGAGAGCATCCCTAGAGGAAAGAATGAATGATTGCTTCTGGGGGGAAAAAACTGCTGGCTAGCTCTGTAATAGGAAGAAAATATGTTTACTTTTTTTTTTACTTGGTGGGTCACTTACAGCTTGACATCAATTTGAATGAAAAAGGACCCAGCAGGGCCCTAATTGGTAAAGTCCACAAGGCAAAACAATAAAATCCTTCAGCTTCTAAAACCATTTAATCCTCACACCAGGAGTGAAACCAGTGCAGCAAACTCTTTCCTACTGTGTTAACCCTCCTGCTGCTATGGGGTCAAAATGACCCAATGCCCCTCTTGGGTCATTTTGACCAAAGGGCAGTAGGAAAGTTAAACTTCACTAGCTATTTTAAGAAAACTATAGATACAGAACTAAGTGCTTATAAATTTTTGGGAAAGATTCTGCCATAAATTTAGTGCAGTTACTACTAAATATTAGTCCCATCCTGTGGGATGTTATACAGWCTACAGACAAAAATGAACATTAAAAGCTTTTTAGAAAATTAGTTAATTTCCAAAAACAGATTATTCAGCTAGCCTGAGGATCTACTTTGAAACTCCTGTGTCAAATAAATAATTATGTAACAAATTTTACACGTTTGTGCAAATTCTATTCAGCTGGATTTAAGCTTCGGAACCCAAGGCTTTTATAAAAATATGTAGGACATCAGTTTTAATGTTCTTGCACTCCTTTTCAGTACTTTTCTTTTTCTTTCATAAATGTCTCTAACCAGCCTTCCCCTGTACGTTTTATGACTTCTCTCATATGGTCAARCCCCCCCCCCCCCTTCTAGAAATCAATTTTTTTCTCTTTCTCTTGTAGCATGCCACCTCTSCCTTGTTCTCCTCACTCTATCACTGACACTCTGCTCCATGTAATACTATATTTTTCAGCTTCATTAGTAGCAACAAACACACAAGGCCACCAGATAGCTCTGAAAAACTCCTCAAAGTGAGTACTGCAGTGCCAGGCACATGTCATATACAGAGGACCATGTAGCATAATGTGTATGCATTTTTGGTTGGTTTGGTTTATTTTCTTAACTTTCTCAAGATTTTGATTTTTAAAAAGTCTGCTCCAGGTAATCCAGCTGATGCTCAGTTGTTGCACAGTGTTGTCAGTGTTTCTCTGGTGACCCTTTCTTGAAAGAACTAAGGTAGTGTTTTTAAAAGCAAAGCGCTGGCAACTCCTCCATTTTTTTAAAAAAGCTCATTATTAAGTCGTCTATCCCTGAACTTCACTCTGCCGGTATTTCTACAACCGCAATGGGTTCATAAAAACAGTGTGGCACAGTTAGAAACCACACTGCAGCATTCAGGAGAGTGTGTGTATGAACTCCACATAAGAAACAACACAGTACTTGGCTCTGTTGTGGCCGTGCAAGAAACATTAAAAAAGGCAAGCACATTTCCATCCTGTGCACACACTCGTATACTAAAGTACAGAATTCCAACGTATGGAATAATACAAAATATTCAGTCACATGATTTCCTCATATTTTTCTGCACTCTTACACCTTTCTGCTTCTTTTGTGCTATCTATAGATCAAAACATTCAGCTCATTCGGGAGAATGAAGCCATTGCCTTTGGTTTTTATCATTTTTTAAACTTTTCAAAATATTTAAACTTTATTTACAAATCCCCATAGAAATACAATGAAATGTCTAACTTATTCAAACATTCAGCTTTTAGCTTACTTTATGCTACTTTCACCTTTTAGCTAACCTGCTACTTTTGACTAGCTTTTGCTACTTTTTGCATTTAGCTAGTATTTTGTTTATTTTAGCTGTAAACTAGTGTTTTGTGTTTTAAACATGTTTTACTCCTTTTAGTCGTTCAGCATTCATACCGCATTTTAGCAGAAAATGTTATTTCTCTAGCTATGACTGAAAGCACTTTGAAAACTKATCTTTCATCTTTGGCACTTACATAATGTCAAGCTCTCACTCAACCTATGTCTTAAAGCAGCAGGTAAAACTGTTGATATTATAACACCATATTAATTAAAAGATGGTCGTTATGTGTCCTCAGGCACATTGTGCTCCATGATTTTGCAGGGAAAAAAGGAAGAAAAATTAAAAAACTGTCCAGACAAGCATCCTGTGTGATGCTACTAATTATTTGTCCCAACATATATATATTCTTTTATCTTAAGGACCAAAATGCATTGATTATTTCTTACTATAGTATGCTGTATGTGAGGGAAAAGCTATAAAAATGTAAATGGCTGCTGCTGCAAAAAAAAAAGAGCTGAACAGCTTCTTTGAGAAGTTTTTGTTTTCAAAACATTCAAGCTCATCAGTAGTAGTGTGGATCTCTCTCTTTGTTTCATTACCTTCCTCTTTCATTGCTGTCTGCTGCACTCTGTCTCCCTAATTCATCCTGTCTAGTTTCTATAGCTGTAAATTTAACACAGATGCCAACTCAGCTCAGTGCATTTACACATGAAGACAGACACCCACACACAGGAGGCATAGTCATGCAGTCTGTCAGTCGTAAGGGGAACAGAACTAACAGAATAAATCATTTTCCACAGCAGAGGCCTACCCTGAACAAAGKGCCTGTGTTTCACAGCTTTCTCCATGTGTGTGCACACATACTTGTGCAGGTCTACTACCATACTCCCATGTAGAAATTATTTATCATCCATGCATTACTGGTGAAACATTTCAACACAAACACAGGAATGAAGTAACCAAAAACATTATCTTTTGTGCTGCACCAAAACATTTTCTGCAGGTTTATCCTGTGCTTTAAACCACACTTGGATTGTTCAAGGAAGAATTTGACTGAAATAATGGGGAGAAAACAGAAAACATCATCCCTCAAAACTTCCTTGGCATTTCAAGGCCACTGAATGCCATGAAACTTTTTTTTTCTTATCAGCTAAGAATAAATCTAAAAAATTAATTAAGACTATTCAGGTCCTGCTACAGCAAATGTGTTAACTTGCTACAAATAACTGATAACTTGAGTTAAAAATCAGCATGTATTTGTTTTAAAATTCACATTGATGATTTTTCTATTTTTTAAATTGCTGGAAACATTAGTAAAGCATTTTACCTGATGCAGAATCAGTCCACTAAAGCGAAGCATGTCTCTGCAGACTCTGAATTCTTCTCTGGGCACTACAATTGGCCACACATCCTCCTTGCTGGGATGCCAGAACCTGTATTCAACAACAACATCCCAGACATCCTCTGAGATCCGACCCGACGGCAGCGTTCTGACAATGGCTCTGGTTCCAGTACACACCGACTTGGTCATCTTGAAGAAAGAAAGAAATTCAGACTTTCTGATCACTTTCATAAATAAAACCAATAAAATTCCAATAAGGTGAAGGTTAACAACAAAAATACCTTTTCAAAAGGTCAAGTGAACAAATGCTTCATTAGTTGAATATGGGGTTCAGGAGAGTGTGTGTATGTGTGTGTTCTTGAATATACTATATATAGAGGACCACTTTAACAATATTTACTAACAAAGTAAAGTAATTCGTGGAAAATGAGGATCTTTATCTGATCCTCACTTTTTTGCAGTTCTACTGCGCTCTATTAGTTAAGTTTAGTGGTATGGTGTGAATTAAGTTTTGGTTAAGTTTAGGATTAAGAATAGACTAGTAATGGTTATGGTTAGGGAAAATGTCTGGGTTAGGCATAAATGCAGTTACAAAAATGAATAAAAGTCAGTACAAATTCCCCAGTTTGATGCAGGTACAAGGATGTGTGTGTGTGTGTGTGTGTGTGTGTGTGCTAAAAAGTACCAAGCAGGTGCTAGTATGATCCTACCTTTTGATTGTTCTTGAAGAACCGTCTCACCAGGACAGTAGAACGTTCTTTACGTTCCCTGAGGAACTCTGTAGTATCCAACAGCGTCTCTCCTTTCTCCTCATCACTGCTGCTGCTCTCATCACTGATGCAGCACACGGTCCCTTCTGAGGATGATCCCATGTTTGTTGTTAWGATTTCTAGAGATGCCGGTCGAAGGAATAACTTCTCCAAGGGGCACTTAATAACCCTTTTGTTAAGCCTCTCTAAACTTGAATAACCATTTTTGAGGCAGTGTCCATTTTGGTGCCGGTGGCTGAAAAGGGGGGAACCACAGGGAGACGACACCAACGAGCTTGGCTCACTCGCAGCACTGCCCTGAGAGGAGAAGTAAGTTGATGTCTACAAACAAAATATAAAAACATAAAAAAAGAGAATAAAGTTACTGTAAAGCTAAAGAGTGATATGAMGGTGTAGAAATGTACTTTTTGTTTTAGCCAAAAACAGTCTCTTATTACCCTGTGGAAAGTCAGCATGGACACAGGCAAACTGCCGCGGCGGATGCCTCTCTTGTTGAGGCAAGAACTGGAGCTGAGGTGACGACACTGAGTAGGACTGGAACTGTGGCACGAGTAAGCATTTGTACATGTGTAAGAGCTTGACAAGCCACAGGAGCAGTGAGTGCTGCCAGTTTTATTCTCTCTTGCATCCGCAAAGTTTTCAAAGTTTTCCAGTTTCCATATAGWTCCCTCTAAACTTTCTTTAGGTGCTGGAGTTTCTACTTCAATGTTCTTTAAAGTGGACAGCTCTGCAAAAAGCTTTTCTTTTTCGTTTAGAACTAAGGAGCTATATTGGAAGTCTACATGTTCCTCAGTCATAATTGTCCCATCCACACTGTCACATGAAAGCTTTCTATAGAAGAGAAGGGAAGGGCTGCTTCGCTGGTTTGAAAGCCACAGTTGGTCAGAGCTTCGCCATGCTTCCGTCTCATGATTTGCATGTTTGGCTTCTCTGTTCATTCTGCTCCCGTTGGACGGAGGTGAATCCTTATTAGTCAATACTTCGTTCCCAACTTGAGTCTGATTTCTTTCAGTGGCCATCACGTTTGTCTGTGGCGTCCTGCTTGAACCCTCGTCTCTCTGCAAATTAAAAAAATAAGACATTTAAGTTGATTACACTAAATGAAAAAATAACTTATATACTTGGTTGTAAAATTATAAGCAAACATTAAAAAAACTATGGTTACTTTTATGAACAAAATGTTAATTTGTCAGCATCATTATTACGCCATTCTTCTGTCATCTTTGCAACATGTATAAGTAACAAATTAAAAATTTTGGATTTGACAACAACTAAATAAGTCAATGGTCAATTTATTTCCTGTTGCAATAAACAATAAATCAATTAATTGCATGATAAATTAAAAACAGGTCAATGAATTTAATTGGTCTGCTTAATTGTTTTCTTCATGTGTCCCTCTTGTCTACTCCTTAATGAAGGGAGGAGTGGACTCAGGTGTTTACCATTCACGTGGTCTCATAGCCTCAGTAGCATGAGAGCCCCATGTACAGGTTTTTAGCTAGAGGGGCGTTTTTGTGTGTGTGTGGTGGGGGGGG